TTGCGCCACCAAGAATGTGAGAAGCCTCACACGCACTGGTGGAAGCAAGCATCAGTACACCCCCCAAATGAAAGGTCTGAAAGGTCACGGGAACAAAGTAAACACTGGCCATGCGCAGGCTGACTGCCGCAACAAGCCGTCTTGTCCAGCGCCATCATGACACATTCGTCCACAGCGGACGGAAAGCATGGCTATGAGCAGCTGGCCATTGCCAAACCTACTGATGGACTAAATCCATTTCGCACCACCTAAGAAATGCCGGAATTGGTATGCCCCTGTAAATTCCAACCAAGCAAGGTTTCCCATAGCTTCAAAGTGGTGCGAAATGGATTTCGTCCATCCACAGTAGGTCGGCCTTCTGTATAAGTGCGGCCCCCTTGTTCGACCACATTTGCGTGTCCTGAGTCGTCGCCGTACAAAAGCGCCACGCGCTCCCGGGGATAGCTCCGCGACCTGCGCGAGAGCCAGTACGCACTGCAGTTCAAGGCAGCTTTCGTCCCGGATTGGGAGAAATCCGTCCTATTGATAGGGTGCTTCCTCCAAAAATGATAACCCCCCACCAAAAGGGGAATAATCCACCAGGGCTTTTATTAATCCGGGGATCTCATTACAGAATTCTCTCATTGACTCCGCACTGATCCAGTTAGCCATGACCGCCCGATGGCAAGCAAGACAGAGATTCAATCACCCCTGCAGCGAGGAAGTTCGTTTGGCAACTCAAGGAAGACCCAGCATTTCTCGCCGCTCGCTCGCCAAAAAAGGAAATGCGGAGAGCAAGAAGGAGAATGCTGCCAAAGTGCAAACTTGATGTTCGCTTCACTTTGAGGCATCAAGAAATTCGTTACACATGTACCTCTGCGTGAAATTGAATTGAGGTCGCTAGTCGCAAGTTCAGATTGGTGACCAACGCCACGTGGGGTTTAACCCTGATCTGGCATAAGAATGTTGATTAAACACAGCGTTGGCATTCCCCGATTTGATTTGGCAGCCCAGCGGCACATCCTCGAAGAATTGGGGCACCGCGTTGGAGCGATCTCCGAAGTCCGCATAGAAGTTGCAGGGCTCCTAAGCGTGATCGATGGCCAAAATATTCGCCTCCCTCCAGAAGAAGCAATGAAGTTCCAGTATGTCAAATCCTCACCAAAACCATGGGGTTGCTGTAGAACTTCCTTTGCGGGTTTCTCAGAGATGGGAAGTTCGTACTCCTGGCTTTCGCGGTTCAGTGAGTCCCTCGTGGATGGTTTTCACTACGCCCAAGCTCGAAATGCGGGGGGGGGGGGGGGGGAAACTAGGGGCATACACGAAGTGGGCTGGTTACACACCACTACAGAGGGTGCAAGGGTGCATCTCCAACTTTCCCAAGAAGCCTTTGGGAGCCGAACCCCTAACACAAGAGCCAAGTGAGGCCTCTCCCATACCCAAAAATGGCGCCCGACGATTCCAGCGCGGCCTGGGAACCATCGCCCAAAGCTTTCAACCGAACGCTCAAAGCACAACATTCGAGGTTCGGTACGTGTTCCCTTCAACCACACCAAGAAACACAAGGTTGACATGTTGGGACCAGAAACAATCATTCCCAACACCAGGAAAACATGCGTCCACAAATCACAAAGGAACTCAAGTGCCCTGTTGATGACGGTTGGTACAACAACAAAACCTTATAGTCCCTCTGGCATGTGTGCAAACACAGGTAGAACGAGTTGTAAGATTGGAAGTTACCGCATCCTGTTTGCCCACGAATCGTCTTGGACCGCAACTCTGCATCGAAGGCTCGTAAGGGCTCATGCGAGCGAAGATGATGAGATCGAACTCGCCTGGGGGGTGACAAATGATAACCGCTGCACACCGCAGGAGAACATGTGAACACACACAACAACAAAAAAACATGTATAAGGAAAACGCAGCGTGAGACAAACAATTTGATGCGGAAGGTAAGACACACGTGTGACGCGAGGGAGAGGGGGTTCACAACAAGCGAGCCTCTTGGAATCCCATGGAACCTCATGGAAGGTGCCACATCACCAGGTCACCAGGGTGAGGGGACAACGTTAAATCATTGGCATCTCGGCAGCCCGTGGTGCTGTGCGGCCTGGCTGCCGCCCGACCAACTCCCCAAATGGCTATGCCCAAAAGTGACGCCTTTCGGGCGTAATAATTGTTCCAGGTCACAGGTGAGGCGAGCATTGCTACAGTTGCCATGGAGCAAGTTAGCTAACCCGCTCCCCCTATATACCAATTATAAAAGGCATCCCCGCGAATCAACACATTTTCTGGGGAGAAGCATTTTCTTTGTTGGTAGGGTTCCAGGGTCCATGCCGGAGGTGAAGCCTCGAGGATGTATCCTCACGTAGGTTCGCGTTTTGAGGGCACCCCCTGGTAGGTTGGTTTAAAGGGAAACCAAGAGGAACACCGCCTTTTCAGGCGGCACCCTAATTTTGATACACACCCAGGTATGTTACTCAAAGACGCGCGCACACACACAAAACGCAGAGCTACAGCGGGCGTTTTGCACCAGGCTGAGCACAAACTCTGGCAGAGCGGCGGTCTCGAATCCGCGCAGAGATGTTCCGGCGGTTCAGGAAGGGCCGCTGAGCCAGCTTGAAGCCCAGCGTGAAGCCTAAGGTCAGGCCCTTGGATTTTTGGGTATGCGCCTGAGAAACCTGGGCTGCCCTCAGATCCCCCTCTAAAAGTTTAACTTTTGGTGGGAGAAATGGAAACCACTAAACACTAAAAGGCGAAAAGGCTAAGGGGGACGGCTGGGAGCCACCAAGAAACAAACACCCCATGGCGGGAAACCTGAACATGCTCGCCAAGCCTTCAGCTTCCAAGCACTGGTCTTCTACAGACCCGCGGGAGTCAACCCTGCCCAGGCGAGCAATCGGGGTGCCACATGCTGAAGGTAGTGGGCAGTCTGGGTGGTGAAGAAAAGGGTTTGGACAAGTGAGTGGTGGTCAATCGAGTTGCTGCCACTGGGGGCTCTGTCCGAGCAGCCCTGTCCCCAAATGTTGGAACGAATCCGGATGTCTTCGTCCAGATCCCCGCCGTTGTCGAAACGGTACGCGTACACGTACTCCGGCACATCAATCACCCTGCACTCAGGCGCATCAGGCATAGAAGGCTGAGGGAGGTGGCATCTTTGTTGGGAAACCTGCGAAGAAAACGCAGCCGAGTCCTGATGATGATGCTTCCTCGAACACTCAGACGGCGTCCCAAAACGGGGCCCTCCAAGAGGAGATTCCTCTCTACACCTAAGTGCTGTAAGCAGGTTCAGCAGGTATCGTTGCCTGTGAGCCACCTACCGAATTCCGTGCAAATTGCAAGAGGGACGGTACGAATCACTAGTTCAGTAAAATCAGCTTCATGATGGCTTTGACCCAGTCGCATGTGTGCTTCAGGTGTCAGGTCATTGCTTGCGGCGCAACTCAAAGAGACAAACACTGACTTGTCCAGTGGGCCTCCAGAAAATCACACGTCATTGTTCCTTGCTTGAGTTTGAACGGAAGCCCAGCCTAGACCAAAAACAACAAAATACCACTGGACAACCGGATAACACACCTCTGGAAGCTTTACTGACTGGTGCTTAAAAACATTTGCTCAGTTGCTGCTTTTGTGGCAAAATGCCGTCCTGTCATCATTCGCCTTTTCACTGCCTTTTCCTCAGAACGCCCCATCCCAAGACAGCCAATCGCCGGGCGTTCCGTGCCTGTCCCCAAGGAGGCTGACCAGCCCGTGGAAGACTGAGGCAGTCAAGTAGGAGGGGAAGTTGTCGAAGCCCGAGCAGGGCAAGTATAAGACTTTGGCGCTAGACCTTGGGCCAACTCTGACTGAATTTGCCAGACCAGTCCTAAGGGTCTTCTGGCACAGCCCTGGTATTCCGGCCCTCCAGAAAATCGACCCTCAGGTTCTGCCTAGAGTGCAATCTGGAATGCGATCCCCAAGAAAAACACTTCAGGATTGAAGCTGTTTCCAAGACCCAGAGGTTGATACTGTCAATGATGACGTCCCTGCCCTTTCAAGGAATGTGCGTTCATGGCGCAAATAAGGACAGCCTCAATTTCAGCCATGTGCATACAAGGCGCTTTTGACACCCAAATTCGCGCTTTGATACTTTACTTTGCTTCATATCTCTCAAACTAGGGGCCCTTTCAAGGGTCGGGTAGTCGAAGACCTACGCACCGACCTCCAAACACTTTGCGCCCTGTGCGCCTGAGGCTAAGCAAGGTCATGCCAAGTAAGCCATTGAGAGCTCGTTTCGATCAAGCTGTGCGAGCTGCGGCGAAGAGCGCCCCGTTTCCGCCACGCGGTCCACACCGGCAGCGCCCTCTTGGCAGCAGCCAACTACACGACCTGTAATGTTGGCCGCGGAACCTGACCACATCAACACAGCAACATGTCAGGCTGTGGCGAGCCATCTGGCATCCAGCGGGTGCCTGCAACATAATTTAAACATGGCCAGCGCACGGAACACGTGCGGCCTGTATTGCGATCTATACGTCTATATGCTGCCAAGGCGTCTGAGAAGCCAAATTGCAGGAAATCAAACGCTGTACAAACAACTCCAAGTGGTCACTGTCAAATGGCCGCTGTTCAAAGCCTGGCAGTTTTGGGGTAAGTTTTGATGGCGGTCCGCACCGCCAAATCTGCCATGATCTCCTCGCTGCCGCCATAGACAGACGGGATCTTGTAATTCCGGGAGAAGACCTGGCTGCATATTGGGCCAGCGTTTTTAGGGCATTCTTTCTGCTGGTTCAAAGTGAAAGCAAGACTTGTTATCTTTTGTGTCCCCTATCTTAAGACAAGCCCGTATGCTGTGTTGTTGACGCTTGGTACCCTGGAACAGTGGCTATACAAGCCCGCCCTTGTTTGCGGGTGTGCGCGCATTTGGATTGCACAGGCACCTCCACCACGCGGCCCATGCCGGTCTGGGTCACGCCCCTGCCCCCAAAGACCTGAACTGCATTGTCCGCCACCAGGTGGTTCATGCGCGTGGTCTGGAACTTGAGCAGCGCGATGCGAGCGCCCATTTCCACACCCTGAGTGGGGCCAAAACAGTACTGCATGCTTAACTGACTCAAATTTTAGCTTCTTTAAACTCCCCTTTACCCTAAAACCTCCACGCCTTACAGTACCTTTGGCTGAAACCATCTCCCTTTGGTTGGCTTCAACCTTCTAAAGCTTCGCCCTCCTGAGAGCCCATGGAGTTCATGTTGAAGGTGATGTCGTAGAGCATCTGGGAGCAGGCTTCCTGATTCAAATCGAGCGGTCTCCAAGAACCACAACTTATTGGACTCGGGTCCCGCAAAGCTGCACACAAATCACTGGCCCTGTATCCTAAGCTTCTCCACAGACATGTGGATGTCTTGCCCTTGCTCGACTCACACTTTCAGCAAAACCGCCCCGATGAAACAGAGCGAAAGAAGTCGGTAGGGTTCCTGTGGATGGCTTCGGGAAATCAGACCTGGGCACGTCCCGCAGGCCCTTAGGTTGGCGCAATCAACCCAGGAATTCGGAATACCCTCAAACAAACGCATGGGTGTTGTCTCAACGTTGAAGCTTCGAGACACCTGGCTTCCCTTGTGGCTCCTTGCTAGGATGTCTTGCAATTATGGGTTGTCTAGGGCACGATTCTCAAATCAAATGCAATATGAATGGAGAAACCCTCGAAGTCATCCTCAGTTTTGGGGTGGTTCAAAATTGGGCGATGCCTAAGCCTAATCCCTAATCCTTAGTGGAACTCCGCCCCAGGCAAATTCCATTAGGCATAAGGATCTTGCAAAAAAGTTCAAGCAACACAGCTTTTTTCAGAGGCACCCCCCCCTTTTGTGAGGTCCCGCTTTTCAAGTGCTCTTTGATTATTCATGGCTCCAAAAAAGCAGGGGTCACTGATTTCCCCTTCAAAGGTTGCAGTTTGCTGGTGGGTTCCAACGCCATCGATACTTTTGGAGGTCCAACAAACAAAAATCGAGGGACCCTGACTGAAAAGTCCCAACCCAATCATTGGCTGCTAGCGTCCACCCCGGCAAACATCTGCGCCAGCTTCTCCCTGATGACGGGCTGTTCGATGAGGGGTTTCCCGAAAACCTGGCGCCAGCGACGCAATTGGGTCTCTGCTTTTGTTGAGGCTAGTGATTTTCAGGGGAAACCAATGGGAAAACGGGCAAACGGGAAAACAACAACTCACATCCTGAGTAGATTAGCCAAACAAGTCTAAACTTGCTGTTTACCAGTCCAGAAACCTGGATTGAACACTTTTTTGACAAACGCTGAAGGTGAATCACACCAATACGTTCCTCAAGCGCACGCGAGACTGGATGCTAAAGATGCCTAAAACACACAATGACACGTCCGCTGTTGGTTCCTTTTGAAACAATGACACATTTTGCTTTTCTTGGATATGTGCGGCGCCCAGAAGAACGAGTGCCAAACCTGCCTTGCGCTGCATGGCCCACTTGAAGGTTTCCGCCGTGCAGATCCGGGCGCGAGCAATGCACTGGGTGGTGATCATCCAGCGCTCGTGGTTGAAATTGGACATGATGATCTGGAAGCCCTCGAGTTCCAGGCATCCCCCACTTGCCCATTGTGTTGTTGCTTCTTTGGTTCTAAAGGGAAGCTTCCCCAAAGAAATCACCAACCATTGGCCCAGGGCCGCTCTCCATACCAACGCGGGCCTTTCATACTTCAGCTTCCCAGACGAGAGGGACAACAACAACGTGGTACTTGCAAGGGCTCCTTTTGGTGTCACAGAAAGTTGCCCTAACACTCCTGAAGCAGTATTCCGCGCAACCATTTTCGGTTGTTCGCTCAAACACAAACTTGCCCATGCTTTGCATGCTTTGAACTTAACGCCCCCTCCAAGGAAACCATGCGCTGCACAAAAAGCCCCCCCTTCTCCCCAGCTTTGGATCGCCAACTGGGTCCAGGGGCCTTTTTTGGGAGGCCCAGCCTCCCAACTTGGCGGTTTTCTCTTTGGCTTCCCTAAAAACCAGCCCCCAACAAGGGCACCCTTAACCAGCTGGGGCTCCCAATTGGTGGTTTTCCAACCCCCAACAAGAGTACACACCAAATTTTTCCACCCGGGGCCTTATTCTCCTGGCCGATCAAACACTTCTTCGGCACTGTGCAGTTCTCGAAGGTCACGTAGGCCGTCCCCGCGGCGCTGGAGTACTTGGTCTTCAGGATCTTGGTCTGGACCTGCTCCGACCTTAGCGGATTTGTTTCCCCCACCCACCATCGGGGTTGTGTTAGTAGGCGCTGGATGGCGCTGGGTGCAATGTGGAGAGGTTGCTTAAACCTGCCGAAGTCCCCCACCCTTCATTGGCCTGGATTGGTGGCTTGGATTTGGATTTGAACCCCTGGTTCTTGTTGAAACCAAATGGGAAGGCTGCAGATCCCCTTGCGTGTGCTTTGCACCAACCCCAAGAAAGGTCACCGTATCCCCTGTGCAACTTGACATGGGACCAAGAAACAATGCGTCTAACGTGCTAACCGGAGTGAAGATGGCCATCAAGAGCGCCACCCCGCCTGGGGATGAGCATCATGGAGATGCCGCCGGCCCCTGGCTTGCCGGTGCGCACCGCGGTGACAAACCAGTCTGCGTACATGCCACCAGTGATCCACTTCTTGGTGCCGTTCACCTGAGCTCATGGCAATGTGTCGAAATGGGCTGATAGGGACAACCCACAGAACTGCGAGTGAGTACTTGTTGTTTGCCCTGTTGTGTTGGAACTAGTTGAGCTGGCTCTCTCGGAGAATGCATGCCGCGTGATCTTTTTCAGACAAGATGGACTGCGTCGAAAAGCGCGGTATTTGTTGGCATCTTTGTTCACTTTAGTAGGCTTGGGGGGGGGGAGGGAGGCAGAGAGAAAAAAGAAAGAAAAAGAGAGAGAGGGAGAGAAAGAAAAAGAGGGAGAGAGAGGAAGCGAGAGAGAGAGAGAGAGATAGAGAAAGAGGGATAAAGAGAGAGAGAGAGAGAGAGAAAACAACAAAAAGAGAAGGGAAAAGAATAGTTACACACCTGCAAATCAGCATGGAGCCTAAAAAAGGGGGGATTCCCCAAAAGGAGATTCCCATGGAAATGTTGGGCTCCAGGATTATCAGTGAGCTCACGATGTATTTCTGGTTCAAATTTAGTAAACTTGCCAATGCAAAACCAGAAGAACACAAAACACGCCCCAGTCAAACTGCGGGTGATGTCAAAGGGGAACCTAAGACAAAGCAGATGGGCAACCGCTTTCTCCCCAAAAGGAGTTCTCACTTTTGGGCCAGAGGTTGTTCCAAACCACCAAAAAACAAAATTGTACCAGGACCCCCCAATGGCTGGCTAATAACCCCAAAACAGCCATCGGGAGGTCAACCATTTGCCAGCCATTGGGGTGTCCTGGTAGGGACCCCCCCCAGGTCTGGGACACAATGTAGTTCTCCCCTGACGCGTCCAGCGTGGCGTAGGTGCGGAGACCCGCCACGTCAGAACCGGCAAAGGCCTCGGTAATTGCCAGGACGCAGCACTGGTCCCCCCGGAGGATGGCAGGCACAACCTCCTGGCGCATCCACTCGGAGCCTCACTCGGACAAGGGCTGGAAATAAACGGCATTGAGCCTGCTGAAAAAAGGTAGAGTGAAGCTGGAAGATAAAGTCCTAAGTGAAAGCTTGACAGCCCTGGAAATGAAAATTGGTCTTCCAAGGGCCCGCAAAAACAAGGTCCTTCTCGATTTTCTCTAAAGGCCTGCTTTTTCAGGTTCTGGAAGATCAAGGGAAAGGTTCACCTGTTTGGACGAAGGAGCCATAAATCCGCAGCACCGGGAGGCCAAAGACCACGCCGGCATCGAGGCCGTCTTCGTAGCCAGGGCACATGGTTCGGCATCGCTCCTCCTGGATGACCATCTCATGGAAGTAGTTAAACCTGGGCATCAGGGTTTGCAAATACATGATTATCCTAACATATCCTTGCCAAGGGAAACTGACCTACCGGCTTTAAACAAGAAGCGATGTTTAATCCAACCCGAAGGGCAACACAGGGAACCCTGTCCATTGAGGCACCCCCATCTTTTCCCCAACTTAGCGACTCGGTGCTCCAGTAGAGAGGTTAGAATAAGGGTAATCTTTTGTCTGTAGTCTATTTTAGCAGGGGAACCCTCCCCAAAAAAGAAACGGTAAAAGGGCACGACTGGGGGACCGAGAAGAGAAAGCCGCTCCCCAAAAGCATACTTCACCTCGCCAGGTGCACTCATCTGGCTTGACCACACCGCCGCAAAGGGCTTTCGGCAGCTTCAGGTGAGGGCCGGGTCCCTGGATCATGGCAATCAGCCCCAGCTCCCCCATGCGCTTCCGCAGCTCTGGGCTGGGCGGCAGGGACTGCGCCTCACACTCCAGAGCCTCCTGCATGGTTCTGGAGGCTTTTCCCTCCCCCCCTCGGGATCTGAAAGCAACTGTGTCTAGAGTACTCCCCCCAACTAACACGGAAGCAAGAGAAAAAAGCAGTTTCTTTCTACAGGGGTCTGTACACTTCCATGTTCCTCGGTGCAAGGGCAACCTTTATCCCAAATTTCGCCACCACGTCGACTTCAGAACTTTTGAAAGGGGCATGTCTTGGTACAAAGGAAGGTCCTACAACCGAGGTTGTGGATTCGTAGATCCCAGGGGTGTCACAACAAGTGCCACTGAAAACTGAGCTTCCCACAACGGCGCTCTAGCTAAATCTCAAACTAAAGTGGCTGACCGAAGTTTCCTAGTTGGGCGTGCTTTTTGCGGGAGGGGGGAGGGGGGGGGAGGGGTTTCCCTTCTCAAGGTTGGTTTGCAGGGAACCCACTAGGAAATTGCACAACTTGTTTGGGTCCGCTTATTGCGACACATGGCTGTGGCTCAAAAAACCGGTACCAAAATGGAACCCTGGTAAGTGGAAACATGGACCAAAACCCGCGCAACCCCTCCTGCTTAATTTTGAGCCACACCCACATACCCATACCCATCTCCCCCAATGTCCTCCAAAGTCTCGCCCGCGAAAAACTTCCGGGCTTCCTGTCGCAGCCTCACGTGGCTTTCGTTGAAGTAGGGCGACCTGAAGCCCTGCAGGGCTGGCCCCTGGTCCACATTAGAGGGTACCCGAAGCGGTGTTGAAACACCTTCAAGATCCTTCAAGAGAACTATCTTGAAGGACTGTTCAAAAACAAGTGGTAATTTTATTTTCAAGGGAAGCTCTACAGGGCTTTTTGCAACAATCGTGGCACAACTCAACCGCCTTTTCCACCCGCCTGCAGGTGCGCCGGCTCAGCAAAGGGCACCTGACTGAACTCCAGCAACATGTGTGACGCCGTCAAGGGCGCCGGCCCCGCGTCGCTCAAGCGACCCTTCTTCAGGCGCTGGTATTTGTCCAGCACCTGGTGCTGCAATGAGACGAAAGTGGGGAACTCCGATTCAATCACGACCACACCTTTCTTTGGCAGTTGATTTTAAAAGGGAACGCCCTTCCAACAAAGAGGAAACAACAGGTGCCCAATAGAAACCCCCTTCAAAAATAGCAGAAACAGGTCGCCCTGGGGGTCTGGGTACGGCACATCGACAATCCCCAACTCGCCTCCTGACGATGCAAGGAGTAGAAATCCTCGGTGGCGTCCTGACCGGCGTAGTCCAATAAAATCTGCGTGCCCCCAGGATGCATTTGCCTTGGTGAGTACTGGGGGCGGTGATTAATCCAGGCCCCCCTCCCCCGCCCCCCAAAAAAAGAAACAAACGGGGGGGGGGGCACTGGGGAAAAGCCTGAAGTCTCTTACAATTTTTGATTTTAAGTTCTTTTACTGGCCCCACTTTCAGAACTGGTACTTGGTATTGTTCATTCCCATGCGTTGGTTCAGTGGTCTATAGAGTTGGTTTAGTTAATTATGTTTAGAGACCGCGCGCTGTGAGGACTGCGTTTCTGAAGTCAGCCTTTTTGTACCTTGGCATGGGTGGATCCCCTAAACCTATGTTCCAAGTGGTCTGTGGCAGAAACATCATGTGAAATCACGCGGACATTTCTGTGTTTCCATCAAATTGTCTTGGCACATGCAGTGCTTAAGTACATTATAACCTGTGTTTCGCTTAGCTGAAAGTCCCCCTACAAACTATCTCTTGGGGTCCCTACATTCATTCCCTGGATGTAGCCCAAAACCTGGAAATTCCCCTGCGAACAAGCTTCGCAAACTTGGTGACGTCGTAGACATCGCCGTCCACGACGATCCAGGCATCCTCCGGAGCGCTGTGCTTCGCAACCTCTTCCCGACTGAACGACATGAGGCCGGCTGCGTGCAAGCTCTGGCAGCCCCAAACGGGCCAAGTTTCGTGTGATGCCGCACAGTGCCTTCTAAACGCTTGCGGACGATGGCTGAGATCCTCCGGCTTGAGAAAAGAACAGATCGGGTTGACAGGACATGCCACATGCGGGAGACGTGCACTTGGAAAGGCTAGGGCTAGGGTTTGTTCAAAGTCGAATAGGCTCAGAGTAAAGCTGGTGCCGCTGGTAAGATCTTCGAGCCGAAGTACGTGCTCAAGGCGCACTGCCTGTGTCAAAGCATGCAAGAATCCATGGCACAGTCAAAGGCAGGCTCCTTTCGCGTCATGTAAAAAATGCTTTCTCCAAACCCCAACGTCTGGCCAGATTTTTGGCAAATCAGCTGTCCCCGATCTTCGAGGGGGTATCGGGCCCTTTAGGCCACTGCTAGGCAAATACTAGACCAATGAAACCACACTCAACCAAAGACAAATGAGTTCAAAAACCCACGCATATCCGAACGACTGCAGAAATCTTGTTGCGCGGAAGAGGACTGAAAGAATGAAACATGCTTTCCCGGGCCGATTTGTTTATATTGGGTGGGGCCTTTTATTGTGGGGGTGGGTGGGGGGGGGGGGGAAGATTATTTTTCATTGCCACGAGGCGTTCTTAAAGACTCAGGTTCGTGCTTGTGACCAGATCTACAGACTTAAACGTAGTCCCGAAGGTTGTGCAGCTGGATGGCTCATCGATGTTCAGCGTCTGAAGGATATACCTCGAGTCGACGCCAAACATCAAACACCAATGCCACGGAGGAAGCACGCGGCAAGAACTCCTTTACTGAGGGTTTCTTCACCCACATTCCTATGAATCCGGAGTAACCCGACTATTTTTCGCTAGCACATTTTGCTAGCACATGCTCTGCACTCGAAATCGCCTTCGCAACCTCAACCACAGCAAGCGGAGCAGAGACCCTGGTTGAAAAAGGCTGGGCACCAGTTTGAGTTTAAGAATGTTCACTGAACCGCTTGGCTAAATCTTCCCAGCCTCGCCGCGCTCTCGGTGCTGATCTTCTCCTGGGGTGCCGGAAGTGAAGCCAAGCGCGAAATGCTCACGCAAATGCGCGTGTCTTTTTGAGCCCTTGTTTTGGCGGCAAGCCAGGCCAACACCTTTTTGCGGGGGAGGGAACATTGCACTCAGGCAAGCAAGCGCGTTGACGCAAACACATGCAAACACACTGCAGCATTCACATGTTCTTCGTGCTTGCCAGGATGGTTGTGCCCATCAGAGGGGTGCCATGAACGAATCCCGCCCTCAAAGTAGAACAGTTGCCTGCCAGAATGGATTTGTCTCAAACTTGTCTCGTTTATTTGCGTGGTGCCCTTTTAGATTCTTTTCGCAAATTATCTAAGATACTCTCAAAGCCAGCGACCTTAAAAAGAGAACTGGCACCTTTTCAAGTTGACCACTGCCAGCAGCGAAACCAACCAAAAAGGTCAAAGGGCTGAAACCACCGAACAACTGGGGAGCCAACTTCACATCTTCTGATGATCTGATGAACATGGAACTTAAGCAAAGATACCCTCCCGTTGCTGGGGGCTGGAAATGTTTCAAACCAATTGCCCCTGCCTTTCTCAGCTTCCTTCCAATTGGGTGGTTTGGACTCGTGGTTTGGTGGTTACCTTGAAAAAACCCAAGTTTTCGGACACTGGTTTAGATCTCAGAATCTCTCGGCTTCCGTTTGAAGCCCAGTCAGCCAAATCTCAGATGCCCAGTGGCCAAGGGAAACCAATAAAGGCTTCTTTTTTTGGTTGGTGGACGGAACAAGGGCACTTTCCAATTTGGTTGGCGCTGTTTTGACGGAAAACAAAACTTGGTTGACGTTGGAAGGGGGCAAAAATCTAAATTCTAGCAGTTCAGTGGTTGGATTTCAACCACTAAACACAATAAGCGAAAATGAAAAAAATGTTTCCCAACAACAACCATGAAAAGAGGAACCTTTCCCCCCAAAAAAAGGGAAAGAAGGGCACTCCCTGCGCCCGGCGCTTCAGCTCCTGGGCCCAGGTCAGCATCTCCTGGGCCAAGCTCTGGTAGCGACTGCCAGGCCCCAGGGTCGAGTACAGGGCCTCGAGTGGGCCACCGGGTTGAGGGGCGTGTGGCATGAGAACCCGAAAAGGACACTGAGGTCCTCCAGTTCAGAGGTTAGAATAAGGTTACCCGATCCTTTTTCCGTGGTCTATTTTTACCCAAAAACGGGTAACAGGGCACTACTGGGGGACCTAGTTGAAATCTGTTGTTCCCAAACTTCAATTCAGCGAAGGGTAGGTTCGTTGAACCTCGGCCTTGGCGAGGTTGCCGGCGCTCGGTGGTTCTACAAGTCAGCACGGCAGGGCTCCCGACATTTCCGCGAACCGTCACTGGGGATTGAGGAGATCCCGAGGTTCCCAAATCCTGGGTGGTTCCATGAGAACTTGGTTGACATTGGAAGGGGAGCCCAAAAAATATGTTTAGCAGGTAAGTGGGGATTTCCCACTAAACCACAAGGAGCAAAAATGTAAAATGCTTCCCAACAACAACCATAAGACAAGGAAAGTTTCTCTCCGGGAGAGCTGAGCGTGAAGAAGCCTTGGATCAGCAACAACTTGTCTCAGCCAGCAAAAAAATGTTTCATCCTAACCGACATTTCTTAGCAGCACCGACATTTCCCCTGTGCCCAGAGGGGAAGCTCACTTGAAAGCGGGAACCAGGAATCCAAAAGGTGACTGTTCAAATCACTGGAAATTGCGGAGATCCCCAGGTTCACTCACCCCAACCCTGGGTGGTTCCATGAGAACCCGCAAGATGGGACACCTGTCCAACTTCCACCAAGGGAGCCTTGGCTTCCAGGAGCAACGCCCGGGGCAGCGTGCGCAGGATGCTCTTGGGAAGATGCTCCTGATCGCTGGGCGGCTGGGCGGCTGGGCTCTTATTTTCGGAGGTGGTACCCTCCACCAGCCAACATGGAAGTGCGCAGACCCCTGTAGAAAGACTACTTTCCTCTCGGAAAAGGCCTTTTGGCACTTCCATGTTAGGTGGGAGGGCAATCCCCCTTAAAATCAGTCGCTCAGTGATTTCTGATCCCTAGGGCTCAATCGGACGCTTGCAGCCTCCCGAATCCGCTGGGGCCGCTGGAAACCCTTGGAACTGACGAATTCATCACTGCTCACCCTTCTCAATCCAAAGTGACGCTTAAAAAGAAACCCAGGATCTTTGACTTTGACCCAATCCAAATAGCGCGCCCAAGCAACGAGAACTTCCAAGAGGTAAGATGTAACTTCACCTACGATTCCTTCAAGCTTACAAAGGGCGGGTCACTACACAGCTAAACCCAAGCGCCCATAACGCAGTGGTCAGATTCAAGGCGCCAGGTCGTGGAAAATGGGCACGCAGCCATTGGCCATGAGCTCATAGTGCCTACCAGATGGCTCGAAGGAAGTAGATCCCTGGTTCGTAGCGTGGGTTGAAAGGAAAGACAAATCCGTTTCAGCCCGCTTGTCGCCTTTGCCACGGACCCTCCCAGGGCCCACACCGCAAAACGCGCACAAGCATTTGATCAGAAAACAGCGCCATAGCCGACCAGCACAGTTGAGAGAGCAACAAGCTTTGGGCGCCATGATCAGGTATCGGGAAAGAACAGGTCAGCGGGCCTCGGACCAGCGAAAACAATCGAAAGCACATGTCTTCCTTCATGAACCCTGTCTGAAAGGGCTCAAAAAAAAAAAAAAAAAACAAAAAAAAAACTCCTGGCTTGTCCGCCGAGCTGTTCTCGACCTAAGCCCGTCCCAGATTCCACGCTTTTGTATGAGGGTGCACTTTTTCACCTTGCCAAGACAAACCGGAAAGAGAAAAAAAGAAGAAAAACGACAACCATTTTTGACTTCCACAATTTTCAGGTTGTGGTTCGGATGGCGCCTCAAGCAGTCGAAGCCGCCCTTGCGCCGGGTGTCACCGAAGTAATGCTGCTGGATGTGCTGGTGGTACTCTTCTTCCTGGCGCAGCCAAGATTCAGAGGCATTCAAGAGATTCGAACAAGTAGACCCGGGCAAGAGCAGGCAACGCCTAGACCTTGGTTGACGTTGCAAGGGGAGCAACAATTTAAGTTTTGGCAGTTAAGTAGGGACTTCCCACTAAACCACAATAAGCAAAAATGCAAACTGTTTCCCAACAACAACCATAAGACAAGGGAAGTTTCTCTCCGGGAGAGCTGAGCGTGCAGAAGCCTTGTATCAGCCAAAGCTTGTCTCAGCCGAGCTGAAACTTTGATGTCCACTAGGCTTTGCGCAGAGCCAATCAGGATACGAACCTTTGAAGCGGCACTAAGGCGCAGAGAATCGAAAGCTCAGCCAAAGCGTCGCTTCCCGAGCCTGGGTATGCTGAAATGGGTTCTTGCGTCGAAACCTATTTGTGCTCGGATGCACAACCATATGCACATGCAAATGTGCGATCTTTAAATTATAAACATAAACCAGTATACATGAACCTAGCTGTCACAACCGTGCAACCGGCAGCTGGCGAGGAAAAGGGTTGGCAGCACCCCTCTTTAGGGCGACAAATGGGGCTGCTGCCTTTGTCAACCCCCGCTCTCAAGTGTCGTCCAATGCGGGACCCCTTTTGAGCTCTGTGCTGCCCCCTGGACAAAACAAAACGGTCCGTAGCATGACTGGCCATGACAGCAGGTGACTTTTTGTTGTGTAGTGGGAGTCACATATTCTGTGCGACACTTGAAGGCGGAAGATTTCACCAAATGGCCCTGGGTCAAAAATCCCGTACCCCCTGTGAACATCCCAATCCCCACTAAAATAGGCTAAAATGGGCGGTGCACCTACCCCAACATGGTACCATTGGTTTTGACCCACACCCAAATAGCAACCAGGATTAGGTTACCCTCCGTACGCCATCTGCCTCCTGTCCTGGTGCGGGCCAAACTTGTAGTTCTTGAACTGGAAAGACTTCATGGAGTCGTTCATGACCTCGCTCCGGCACAGCGAAAGCGGCATTGATGGGCTGTGCCTTGTCTGAAAAATGGCCATGATACCGGAAAGCCTTGCAATTAGCTGGTAAGACCAGCCAGGTAAGCTTTCATATTGGAGCTGGATGAGAGACAAGGACCGCCTTCTCGACATGGGTATCTTGCAAGCAGTGCGGACCCTTCATAAACGTCACTTGGTGAAGACAGCGGGACGGCTTACCGTGCTCTTGGGGCCAAGACTCTACTTCTTTGCGAGAGGGGCATCCTGTGGATCTGCCCAAGGAAATTCAGCCAAGTATTGCTTTACCTTCCGATTGCCCTTGCGCAAAGACTGGAGCTACTCTGTATTCGCGGGTCCCTGGTTTCAACCCAAATGATATGATACGTCCCCAGTGCACTCTACGCCATAAGTTGCAATGTTGGGCGGCAATGCGGCAACCAGCTTCTCAGCCCGCAATGGGTTCAATGAATATGAATGCGAAAGGGCCTACAAGCCTACAGGTGCAGTTGCACAATGCAAAGTCAACTGTCAATACAAAGAGACTGCAGCTCTTGGTGACACACCTTGCTTGCCATCAAACACCAACGAAACAAAAGAACCCAAACAAACACGAAATCAACAACCACACGCCAAGGATGGCAAGAGAACTCCACAATGGATGGCGATGCCCGGTCGCTTCAAGCTTGAATTTCCTGAGAGCCATCTACATGTCAATACATCGATAATAGCTGGGCACATTTCAATCCAGAGTTTGCTCACGCCAGCTTGGTCCCTGAGGCAGCCATGGTGAACAAATTCAGACCACACCCATGTGAGCCACGGTCAATACAAAAGGGACAGTGAAACTCGCAGTTCCTGAAGTGTCGGAAGCTTGAACTCTTTTAGAGCTCAACTTTGTTTTGTTGTTCTTCTCCGAGGTTCCCTGCGCTTTAGGGTGGGAATCGGAGCAATCTATATACCGGAAATCTGGCATCCGCAAGCAAGGGGTCTTCATGCGTGAGCTTGTTTTCACAGGTGAGCTCGTGTTCATTTGCCCAGATAGCCGCGAAGTGGCCGACTCATGCTTGTAAAAAATCACCCTTGATACAAAAGTGTTTTTTCCCACCCAACAGATTCGAATCCCGCAGCTTGAGGCTCGGGCCAGCGCCGTCTTCTGTGGCACCTCCGCCAGGATCCGGTCCTGTCGCCCGGTCGGCTCCCGATATCCAGACAAATGGGCACGTCCGTCGTCTGTTGAACATGGGAACCCCGGATTAAATTAAAAAGAACCCCTGGTGGATGTTCATCGGAACGCCTTTTCATAGGGGTCGAATCCCCTTTTTGGCGGGCCCACCACACCCCTATAGAACTGGGTTCGTCTGCAGAGTCTGCTTTGCAGACAAATCCGAACATGCAGCATAAGAAAAAACAAAAAACAAAACAAAAAACGAGATCCCAAATATATCAAGAAAGGAAGTGATGAAAACGACCCCCCGCTCCAATCTGTGAAGTTGACCAAGGACCTTCAACAACTCGATGCCCCAGTATTGCCGATAGCCGGCTGGATGGGGATGTTTGTTTCAGAGCGCCGCTTTCGCCTTTGTTGCTTGGAAGCCGTTTGAAAGGCACCTTCCTTACCGCAAATTATCACGTGGTATGGTGTCGAAACATTGCAAGTAAACCAACCACAATCCATGGGGATTTGCCAAAGCTTCCCTTGTTCCCCACTTGCAGTGTTTGGGGCATCCGGGCGCAATGCCCAGAACGCAGAACTTACCTGGCCTTGGACCTTAAAACGTAATTAGGTCCACTCACAAGGTAAGGTGCCAGGTCCATCGTGGCACTCGCCAAGAGATCCACTAAATGGTGATAGGATGAATTTGCCCACTACTGTTGTGTCTGGTTCCGTTCCTTGCCTCCAGCTCCTAGACCTGCCAAATCCGAAAAGGTGCGGCTTTGAATCTGCTTTCTTTGGACAGTCACCTGAGAGGCCACGGAAAAAGGGAGTAAAGGGACTGGAAAAAAGAGGAAAAGGGCCCCACCGATTGACCGGGTACAAAACCGAACTCCATCATACAGCCCAGCCAGCTCGCTCCTTTCACCCTGCTGAGAGATGAGAGTGTAAGCTTGCCTATAGGACTCGTACTCGTGAATCGGATCTGATCCTTCGACTTGTGCTCAAGATCACTTGCGACGTCTGTACAAGCGCTCTGCCTTAGGTAGCTGGCACCGTTTGCCAGAAGAGCCAATCCTGCTTGACTCCTCTTCGTAGGCATCGTTGCCCCCACCCCCCCACCCGCCCGAAGATTGCGAACCAGGAGTGTCAACACAGCGGAGCGTGCGCCCCGGGCAACGAGCAATGGAAGTGCGAGATCAGTCCAGCCCGGGTCCGCGGGGTCGAACCCGCTGCTGCGCCTCCACCCGTGAAACCCCTGCCATGCCAGCTTGCCAGATTCCATTAGGGCAAATGTATCATACATTCTGCATATACATATATGTGTACATATATATATATATATAATGTATTTAACAACGCACACATGTATACCGAAGTATGTATAATTGAATAATACATTAAGAATGCAAACGCGAAACCTAGCCGTCTTTCCTTATAAGGCTCTCATGTGTCCCTGGCATGCCCTCTGATCTGTGGTCCGTCCTTTGGGATCGAGTAGGAGATGGGGAACATCACGATGTCATCGCGAAAGACGTAAAAGCTGGCGGCACTCTCGTCCACATCCTCAGGCGAATTTTCTTCCAACAGCCGGAGGGTGCTGATGACTTTCCGCGGGGAGTTCTGCAATGTTCTGCAATAACTCACCTCATTTGAAAAAACTTCGCAGGCGGGAAACCTAACTCATGTCGTGGAACGCATGCTGCTGGTGTGGCGCGTGGCAGGGTGATAAAACACGTGGATGTGCGGTGCCAGAAACAGTTCATGTGGAGCTGGGGTAGTGTCGATTTGTCGCCTTGTTCGAATTCGAAGTCAGGAAAAGCCGGGAAAAGCGTTGATTCAACCAACCGAGCCGGTAACCGAGCCCTGGAAGCAAAAGCCGGCGAGTATCTTGGATTTAGATACTTGGCAGAACACTCCTGTAAATTAACTCTTTCCACAGTGTTTTGCGAAATCTGCTCTTTGACCAGTGCTTGGGTTGTCCTTTCTTGCCGAAATTGCCAACCCAGTTCTCTTCATGCCATCAGTTTGCGGCATCAAGTCCTTGAGTGGTTTCCTCAACGAACTGTCCGAGGAGACAACCGCGCGCCCCTCATCTTGAACACACGGTCCTCGTAAAGGAAGGCAACACTCACTCGCAACAGCCCCGGAAACACACTTTGACAGGAATTCCGTCCCACTCTGGAGGCAGTTGATCACAAGAACTTCCGTAGGATTAGAACTCATTGAGTTGGCTCCGCCCGCGCGTAACCTGAAACAATGAATGCGGTGCGCATGAAAAGGACCACGTCGGTCGCCGCACGAGAGAACGCGCGCACAGCAAACTGCGCGAGAGAACACGCGAGGGAAATTGCCAAAGACAACGTGTGCTGCAAACTGCACCAGCAGCTCTGCACGAGAAAGCTCACATCTTGCCCGAGAAATACGGACCCAAAACTAACTTTTAAGGCGGCGCGGTGGAACCAAACCCACTGTGCGAAGATGACACTCTCTGCGTGGATCGGAGAAGTTGAGGTTCAACAGGGTGTTGCTACTTTTTGCCTTGCGGAGCGGTCGGCCTCGGGCGCCTTTCTGTGTTCGTCGCGGGCGCAATGCTTTGCGCATGCTGATGCTGTTGCTGTTTTGGGTGGCACAGATAACCAAATACTTACTCTCGCCCACTCACCTTACACGCTAACTTATGTATACTTACTCTCACTCACTCAACTTACACTCACTGACTTTCAACCACCCCCGCTCTCACTCACTCAACTTGCACACAAAGACACACCCTTGCTATCACTCTCTCAACTTGCACTTACTTTGGAAAAGGCCACAGGCTAGTGGGGATATTCGGCCAATTAACATCGCAGGTTAACCCAGCTCTACTGGGCTTTGCTGGTGCACAAACTTGTGCCTAGGTTAAGTTAATCGAAGCTGAGCTGGCGCAACGTGGGTCCACCTCGAATGAACCTCGCACCCCGAGGCCGTCGCCGCAGTCGGCAGCACCACTCCAGACCGCAAACGGCGCATGCGCGGGGAGAGCCTGGCGAGGACCGTCCAAGCGGACAACCATGTGTGCACAGATATATCTCCTTGATCTTCCAGGACCCTGGTTTTGCGGGTCCTTGAAAGACCAAGGTATATGCTCTGTTTCTTCCTCTGGCGGTAGTTGAGTAGTGGTTTGGGGGGCATCTTTCATTCCAAATGGAGGGGTCGAACGCTCGGGATTCTAAGCTGACACCCGCGGGACACCAATACAAAAAGAAACCGCTGTGGGAAAAGATTGAACGCAACATGTGCGAGGCGGCTGCGGATGGGCGGTCGTTTGTGCTCGCAAATGTCAATGCTGCTGCCAAAGGAAGCGGGTTGCGGTTCCGGCACCCACGGCAACCAAATTTGTCTTGCTCATTTTCTTGGGAGCTATCCCCCCTCCACGCTCTGACCAGTGGCAAAAGCGCAAGGGTTCACTGGGCTGTGAATGCACCCTTCCAGCTTTCCAGCAACGGCACCGTGCGGTAACCAGATCCAATTCCCAAAGGCGCAAGGCGCTTGCACAGCTCGCAAAGGCCAAGCATGGGCAGTTGCAGTCATTCATCAATGTGGGGCAAAGGGACCGTGGAGATTCTGATGCATCCTTCGCGACGTATGCGACATGAGATCCCAAAGCCTACATGTGTTGCCACACGATGCAAATCCCCAGCCAACCTGAAAAGTTCACAACACCTGTGGTTTACTCTTTCAGAAACGTAGTGTGGTTGTGGGCTTTCTGAGCATCCCCCATGGCTGGCGGTCAAACACAAGTACAAGTACAAGTTCGTCATCCCGAGCAATGCGGCTGCTTTACCAGCTCGAGCTTGTTTTTGTCGGCCTCAAACAGACTGTACACCTGCAGTCTGTTTGGCGACCAGCCTGACTCCAGGGCCAAAAGACATTGCCTCCCGCTGCCTCCCGCCCCACACACCCGCCCACCTGCTGCAAGGCTAGGTCATGGCAAAAGCTGCTGTACATCGATCAATTCGCCTCCATGTGCACCCACGTGTCACGGCTCTTCTCTGCTTGCCTGTGCTCGAGAGAAGTGATGTTCTGTTCCTCCGTGTGCTTCCCCACGTGATGCGGTCTGCATGCGGTCCCGATTTGCAGCACATCTCAAATTGGTAGCGTTGTGGTTTTGCTCTAACCCAAGTGTTTGATGCTGTGTCGGTGTGATCGTCTGGGCAAGCGCAATCTCTTATTAAAACTCCTGCGACTACCCATTGCACTCGCAAAGGCCATGACTTCCCAGCATCTCGCATCAGGATGTACTGACGTACACTTTGAGCCCCGGATGAGACAAACCAAGCGCGCGACACCCTGGTAAAGCACAAATCCAAGCCACGAAACGAGCCAAACACCCTGGGTTCTTGGGCTGTAAAAAAGGTGCCGTCTAAAGTTTAAGGGTTCCTGACAAGTGTCACACAGAGGCACAATCCTGGCGCCCTGACCACACGATTGCCAAATACTCAAGAGGTCAAGGGAAGCAATTGGCTAAAGGACAAACTCAACATTTCGGTCCGTCTTCTTTGAGGCTAGCCCATTTCGTGCTGTGGTTTGAAAGAGAAACCAAAGCAAAAATAAGAAGGCACACCATTCCAAAGCTCTTGGTCAGGGACTTGTTTTTTCTCCGAAGTATGAGCTTGAAAGAACCGAGCTTGTAAACGTGCGCGGAGTCGGCAAAGCGGAAATGCCGCCAAGACGGTCACTTTGCGCCTTGGAAATGCCTTTGGCCTCAAAACATGCCCCCCACAGTCCAGTGCACTGGGTCTCGCATGCAACATCTGGGACACTAGGGTTACATAGGGCACAAGGGGTTCCAAGCCAAGGCATCCAATCTTGTTACCAGACCCCCAAAGCTGCCGGCGCGCCTTGCCAAGCCGCCTCACACCTGCTGGTTTACGGAGGCATCACTGGATCCGAATCCTCCAAATCGAGGCTGAGTTCTCATGGGTGAAGGGAGTTGCCAGCAAGCTTGGGTGGATTGGACCGAATGTGGAACTCCTTGATTCCCAGCTGAAATGATCGTCAAATGAAGCAGGTTGCACTGGGGAAATACGATAAGGTCTTCCAGGCTTCTCCCAAGAAAGCAAAGCCTAGTCGCGACGAATCAGAATGAACGACCCTTGGACTTCCAAATCACCGCACGTCGGGGAATGCTTGGGTGGAGTCCAAACTGTTTTTGTTTGCCACTAACATGGTCGTCGCAAGTGGCCTTCAGTCCATGAACTGACGGAGGGAGTTCATCAAAATCTTGTCAGAGAATCAGGCACAAGGTAGCTGACACAATTCCTGCAAAATCCTGCAAATAAAGCGGGCGATTCAACAAGGAAGCTACGCCATCTCGCTCTTGTACCAAGGTTTGGGCTGGCTTCAAGCGTGGTCTTTCACTCGGGAATGGCGAGCCGAGCCAAGTGGGTGTGTCTCAACATGGGCCAAATTGTGCGGCTTCATATTCCAGCAAAACCTCAAAATAGTTTCTTTCATGAAATCAGCACCCCAAGAATCCCGCACCACGCCCGGCCGGTGCGACCGAACAGGTGCCGCACGTCCCAAAGGCCGAAACGCCTCGGCGGTTCTCAGCCTCTCCAATAGCGCTGCCTTGGTGCCTCGAGCCGAACGTTGGAGACATGGTGTGCCCACGAAGCCCCGAAGCCCCAGCCCCCATCCGGCTGGACCATGGTTGCCTATTCTAAGCCCTTCCGATGGGGAAGCATCACCAAGGCAAGTTCGCTACACGTTGGAAAAGCGATGTTTACAACCACCGCGAACCCACCATAATCCATATCCTGGATTCCACTGTGTAGGATGTTGGCAAGAAACCTCCATTCAACAGTGGAGCGGGGTAGCTGCGCCACATGTATTCCAAAGTCACTCCATGAAAAACATATAGCAGGAAGTAACATTCCTGTATACTGTCTGTCTAGTATGAATATGCACTTGTAAGGGAGCCATTGGTGCGAATCACTTACGTAGGGACTCAAGGTCGACCAGCTATTTTGGGTGGTGTGGCCGGCCATGCGACCCCGTTGCTCCTGCCAGCCCTTCAGCCAGGCCTGCATCATCGAGGCCCAGATCGCGCAGCTTCTGCCGAAGCTGCGGCACAGACAGCTGAGCCTCCCGTCCGTGAGATGCCGTATTGGAGCCGACGTGCAACGCGCACGCCCGGCCTCAGCGCCGGCAGGATCTTCTTTGCCCGCCGGCACCTGCGTGCTTTCAGGAGGCAAAGGATGCAAGAAGCATGACGTAGGTCACACACAGCGACAGTTGACAATCCCTCAGCGCGAGCCACCAGGAGGAGGATATTTGCAGTTCTGACCGGGAACTGATATTGATTTGATCTGCTATGTTTCAGGTTGCCCCTCCTAAGCAGCTATGGCCTGTAGACATCAGCTTGAATTCCGTCTCAACCAACAAAACACGTGGACATGCCTGGAACCTTGAGCGCGCAAATTTCGGAGCAGCCAGGAAAGTCATACTTGCTGCATGCTGCAAGCACTCAGTGAGTCAGCGGTGGCATGCCCGGTGGCCTCGTTTTGAGCCATGTTCAGTGAACCATGCAACCGGACAACTGTACGCATGGGTGCTAGCTACTTGACGGTGGGCATCAATCTTGCATTCTCTGGGTGACTTGACCACTAGAAAGTCCAAGCCCGACCTGCCTCCATCAGTGCAGAAAGCATGCCCAAATGAACTGTGCCCCGCCCGCATGAACCGATGTCCCTTTCGCCGCAAGACAAGTTCAGCGGCACAAGGCCGAAACAGGCGGCTTTTTCATCGGCAAAAGATGTGAGGCAACGGAAAGGCAGTGCTCGGCTTGTGGCCGGCGTTGCTGGCGCAAGCAACCTCTCTTGGAAATCAACTTTTGCGCATCCGGCCTCGGCGCCTGCGGGTTCTTCTTCAGCCGCCGCCACCTGCCCAGCTTTCAGCAGTCAAAGGGCCTACTAAATCTGCACAAATCACTTTACCTCACATACCGAAGGATTCCATAGTCATGGTCGTCTCAACAATGCGACGACCGAGAACCGTATCGAACCGTTACCGTATCGTATCGAACCGATGGCGGCGGAATCGAATCGCATCGAACCCAAAGTTCGGGAACACCGAGGCAATTCGAAAATTCAGACCCATCTTACCCTTGCCATAAGTCGCCATAAGTCGAACTGAGTTTGCTAGGGCCTAACAAATTGATTTTGCTCAGCCCCCGGGGAAATCCAATGAGACTTCAAGGCTGTGGCATGTTGTTGCTGTCATGTCTGCTGCTGTGAGCGACTTGCTGCGCGGCAAAGACTGCCCGAAACTTGCCGGGATGAAACTCCGAAGCGTTACGAGCGTTCTTTGCCGCCTCCCAGCTCCTTCTTTACGGGTCTTCATGGACGAGCTCCAATATTTGACCCTTCCCTCCTAGGAGAAAACATCGGCCTGGGTTTGGAAGGCTCTTCCCATTCCAGGGCTTTGAATAGGGCTCCTGGAGTTGAACATATCCCTGTAGCCCAAACATGGTGCCAAGGAACACATTTGTCGCAACCCTCTAAGTCTCCTTAAAGCAAGCCACGCAAGAGGCGTTCTTTGTGTGGGATACCTGGGAAACACGAGTCACTTCCTTTGGGGTGAGTTTGTGGCTGCCGTGCCGATCGCACCATTCGGCCTCTGCCAAGGAGGGCCCTCGATGCTCGAACTGGGAAGGGATGTCTTGCTCCCAGCCATCGTACAGCTCACCCCAGCCTAAGTTTCGTGGCAGCGTCCAAGCTGAAGTTAGCCGGAAAAAGCAAAGGGAGCCTACAAACTGTTTGGAGCGAGAAGGCCCGACACGAGCAATGCTTCTGATCAAGTCAAACCTTCCATCTCAAACGGAAGCTTGAAGGGGCGAGCAGACCAAGCCACAAGCTGACGCTCACGGCAAGGAAACCCGCCAAGAGGCCAATGCGAGCGGCTTTGATCCCTGCCCTGACCACTGGTGGGGAAATGTTGGCCCAGCACAACATGCAGATTGCTATAGGGTCGCGTTTCTCTGGTGTTTGCCCCGTAAGGGCAACATTTCCTCTTGCGTGGAAGGCCCCCCGCTATTCAACAAGGGCTATGAAGCGGCATGAATCCTCCTTGAGTTGGAGTACTCTTTTAAGGCCTTCCAGCAGTTGTTTTGCCATGCATGGGCATTTGAGGTCTGGAAAAATTACAGCTGCCGGCAAACAAAGACTGCCAAGGTGCGATTTTCCGCATGCGATTTGCGAATCATCCTCAGAGCAAAAGGCGCGCGGATCCCACGCAATCCGGCCATGACTTGGAGACCGTGCAAACACGATTGATTTCGCCCTGCGCCTAAGTGATCTGATTTCGCCGCTCGCCCCACAAAACACAAGGCCTGGGAAAACTAAGTCTCCTTGCATCCCTTGCCAGCCTGCCAAAATGAATGTGAATGTCTTCCGGGGCGTGAACGGCTGGATCCGATGCGGCAGCCCAAAACTGGGCGAAACAAATCGGCTCATCCGTGGCAATGGGTAAACTAGAGGTCCTGAAGAGCCCAACAACTTTGCCAAACGCAAACACAATAGATGCGCGAGCTGCGAACGAATAAGTGACCCTTGTGTTGAGTCCTGGTTTATGGTGTATTCGCACCTAACACAAACACAATTGCAGCCTGCAGCTTGCTTTGGTGGCACCCCTCTGACGGAAATAAGTGTTCCGGCATGAGACCGGTGGCCGGGCAGGGGTAAACTATGAGACAGGCGCTTCGTCTTGAATACACACCCCCTCTGAAAGAAACATCCCCTGCCCAAACATGGACTAGCTGCGCCCAAAAAAGGATCTGATAAATCTCCAAGCCAGCGTATGGCTTAGCCACGATGAAAAGGATACCTGAAAGGATGAAAGGGTATGGGAAGGGGATTGAGAAGCCAACAGATGTCCTCCCGCTTCGGAGAAAAAAGAGAAAAAAACATCACACCGCAAGCTCTTGCAGTGTGAGATTCCGCGAAGCCGTGCAGAAGCCCGCCCGGCACGCGCGAGGGAAAGCTAGCGAAGCCGCCAATGCG